TTATTAAAGAGTTGTACAGAAATATTCATTAATTACATTTTTAAATTTACCACATTTCAGTTGCAAAGATCGGCGGGCCACTTGCTAGGTTCCGCGGGCCAGATCTGGCCCGCAGGCCACCAGTTGAATAGCCCTGACCTAGAGGAACATCTGGAGAGTAATTGTTGTTTCGCCTTAATTTTCCTACATCTTTTCCCAACCAATAATAACATAGGACGGTACAGGAGTGTCACGGAGAAAACGGAAAAAGCTCTACTGACAAGAAAGGAGCGCTAAGGGGTATCACAAGATGGTTATCCATAGACAAGGGAGACGATGATCGACAAAGAAAGAGAGGACCACACATGCAACAGCAGTATTCTATTGATCTGAATTAAGGGATGCCTGGGGAATGTCTGTTCACATTTTTAAGACAGGGGCGCCTCCTTCATAACATAAGACCGTTCAGGGACTAGATAGGTGGGTGCTCCACTACCAATCAGTATTAGACCGCGGAGACCACAATATGGGTTGCTTGGACCGACTTGCTTTGAAAGGTGGGAGTCTCTCCAGACAACAATATAATGAGGGGGGGGGGCAGTCAGTTGGCCTTAGTTAACCGTCAAGTCACTTGACCACCATCGACAATCTTCACCTCCACATTTCCCTCACACTTACCACCGTACCACTAGCGCGTATACCTACTTCTGTTCGTCTCATGCTACAATAATTATTGTGCTGGAGGCAGCAGAATGACTAGGCTAAATTTAGTTTTTTCCAATGAAGATTCTATGTTTTTTTTTTTTTTTATATTATTTTTCTGAAGCAGCCATCAAGTGTACACTGACTCCTTAGGGTCCTACGGAGCAGCAGACAGACAGTGGTGACTACTTCTGAATACCCTATTGGTGCTGCAGTGATTTCGATCACAGGCATGGAAGAAAGTTAAGACAGTTTTACTCCATACCTCACCTTGAGGCTCTAGGCTAGCTTTAGGGATCATCAAGCAAGTCTACTGCCACCGATGTGTGCCACGGATAATGGCTGACCTTTGCGACCTCAATCGAGTTGGCAGAGGATCGTGGAGTTAGTGGCCTCTAGAGGTGTAGTGTCGAGACGGGCTCTTATCAACCTATCTCCCAATACATGGGTTACCACTTCTATCAAAACTAATTTGCAGCATGGGTAAAGTCTGCAAGCCGAACGTTCTACTAAATAAAAACCCTTGGTTAAAACATCTTTTGAGAGGAAAGAACTGCTGAATTCAATCCTATAACAAGAGATTTACTTGCAGCCTTGATGAGCAACGTCTTCTGCTGGTGGTAACTCACGGAACATTCCTGTCTCCGCACATCCTGTGTTAATCGTTGAAGTACACCATGACAACCTGCTAATGTCATTGAGCTGATCTGGCACAAGTCCTATGCCATCACAAGAATGATCGTAAGGTTCACATATCCATTACCATTAGCCCCGATCGCTAGTGTCGGGACCAGAAATTTGAAGTGTTACCGGACATATGCTTTTGCCTCACTGTCTTGCTAAGTTTCTAATTAGAACAACGTTAAAGGTGTCTAAGGTGCTGAATAAAAATGTACCTGTGGTGTGGCCATCGATGTTCCGGATCTATGGACTGTTCACTGTTGATCTCTGTAGGACACAACCAGTGATGATTGGAAAGCTCAACAAATGGATGTAATTTAAGCAGTCATGTGCAGGATGTGATGATTCTTTGGGTTAGGCCAGACCAGAAGGTCGTGTTGGCTCTGCATTTATAAAAGCCTCCTTGAACTGTAGGGGACCTCCATGATCCGCCCCTGCGTTTCCTTAAGAATTGACCAGTCTATATGCGGACGCACTGAACACGCTCTCCAGGGGAAAGACCTGTAGATAAGGGAACAAAGAAAACACCACACAAATGAGGCCACAACATGTCCCTGTCCCATGAAACTATCTGGAAAGTTAACCTGTTCAACAAATGCTCGATGAAGTCGGATGTGTCGGCCATAAGACACAAATATCGCAGCTTTGGGGTAAACAGGCAAAACGCATTTACGTCACTCGCACGAACGAAACCAAAAAGAAGAGAGTACTATCATTTAAATTTTGTTTTTCCACTGATGTACTGTTCTGTTCTTTCGTAGACAAGTATATATTATTAAAATTATTATTTTCATTTTAATAGGAAGTCATGGCCAGGAGATTTTTTTTGAAACTTTTAAACTCACATCACCATGCATCCAAGGGTTGAGAAGTGGCACTGATAAATTCATGCTCACTGGAACAATCGGCAGGAATTATAGCGCACTAGTCAGATCAAACTGGTTTGCATCTGTAACAGTTCAGTTATCAGTTTCCTCATCACAGTGGATTAATGTAAGTATATATATATATATATATATATATATATATATATATATATATATATATATATATATATATATATTTAAAATTGTGCTTTAAATCTGCCATTGTCTGATATCTTTAGGCGACCATTGCTGTGATACATAATAATTCGTTCTATTAGCTACAGTGGATCATTTAGAAACATGTAATGTGACAAACACTTTTGAAAAAACTGAAACTTACTGGAATGATTCATTCTGTCATCAATAGGAGTGAATTCACCTGAGTTAGTAAAGATAAACAAAAATCGAGCTACCACAAAAAGTAACAAACTCAAAGCACCAATACAGAGTTCGAATGTCCACCAGACCTTTTGAAAAATTAGCGGTTGATATGTATATACAAGGTCCGACAATTAAGTAATAAGACTGATTTTATTATGGCCAAGACATAAATGATATCTATGAAACAAAGCATGGAATCTGAAGAGGCAACAATAATCTATGATCTGGCAACTTTTTATTGCTGCTTGATAAGCTGACAACAAACAAGCGGCCATTTTGTTGACCTAGTCAGAAGTACATTGTTACGTAATCAGCGCGGAGCAAAAAGCTAACATTAAATTTGTTTTGAAACTCAGAAAAAGCGCAGTTAAAACAGTTCAATTGTTTCAAGAAGTTTGTGGGGATTACTGTTTATCTCGTGCATACGTTTTCTGGTGGTATTCACGATTAAAACGTGGTGTTGAAATGATTACTAATGCACCCAGACCTGGAACCCAAATTTCTTTTCGTAATGTTGAACTCATTGCAAAAGTCAGAGAACGTATGCAAGAAGATTATGGTTTTACTGTGAGGATGATGGCAGATGAATCTAGTGGTAATAGAGAGACTATTCATAACATTTTAGTGCAGGATTTGGCACACACAAAAGTTACTTGACGGTTTGTACCACATTCGTTGTCTGATGACCAAAAACATCAGCCGGTTGAAAACATAACATACAAAATCAAAACATAAATTTTTAGCCAAAAAACAAGTGTGTGTTCTCAGCCTTCCACCCTGCTCCCCAGATTTGTCTTCCTGAGATTATTTTCTATTCTAAAAATTAAATTTACGATTGAAAAGACGCTTCTCTAACGATATTGATGACATCCAAGTGGCCGTAACATCCATTTTAAGGCCATTACTACAGAAAAACTATATAGGTCGTACCAATGTTTGTTAGATCGTGTTACCTGCTGTATGAATGCCCAAGGGGCTTACTTTGAATCACAGACAGATTATATCTTCAACTGTTAATTATTTCAATTTTTAGGGAATTAGTCTCATTACTTAATTGTCAGACCTTGTATATACACACACATACACACGCGCACACGTGGGTATATGTGTGTATGTGTTTGTTCTTGTAGGTATATTATATATTCAAACAAAAAATTAAACAAATCTTTGAATCTGTATTAACAATTTGTGGTGCCAGTGTTAATCAATCCTGGCAGCAAACTGAAGATGCCATGAGTAATGACAGCTATTGTTAATATATGTTTAAAAAACAAACATGGACCAATATAGTCTTTCAAGAACACAAAAGTTCATTATCCGCACTTACATTAGAGATCTATTGAACAGACAAACTGGGTATTTGGAGATACTTCTGAAGTAACAGGATGTGTCTCTTCATTCTTCATCATTTTTTCTTTTTTTTAGTTTATTCTTTCTCGTTAGAGAAATGTGGGCCGTGTATTTTCATTAAAATATGGAGAAAAAAAAAATTCAACTATTGCCGTATCTACGATCACACTCGTTATTATATATATATATATATATATATGTATACATATATGTATATATATATATATATATGTGTGTGTGTATGTGTGTGTGTGTGCGTGTGTGTGTGTGTGTGTGTGTGTGAACAGGCTCATCAGTCATTTAACACTTAGCCTTTGAGGAGGAGATCAAAGTGCCAGTGGATCTGTCTGGAGTTCTGTGATCATAAGCCTCACTACTAATCACTAAAGAGTATACATACTTTAGGATAATTTCAATAGAGGCTGAGAGTTCATTGTCAGCTGAATCCGCGGCTGATAAAACAGTTTCATGTTAAAAATTAATCAAATAATACTTAATTACAAGTTTTTTTGAAGCAAGATCAAATAGTTTTTAGTTTGCTCTGAAAAGTTCCTCATAAGTGTTTTTGATTTTATCATACTTTTGATTTTTATTTTTTTGTTTCTATCCAAGTATAATGTGTTGACTATTGACGTCCCCCCACCCCCCCCCCTCTCCCCTCCCCTACTAATTGTTTTAGTTATTCTCCATCTCAGCTTCATACAGCTGTTCACAAAGCGTTAGGTCTGTAATAATTAACTAGACCGTGGTTAGAATGTAATTACATCATAATTCTTATAAGGAGATCAATCAAGTTTGAATTTAAATCTAACTTCTCACTGATGTTGACTGAAAGAGAAAGAATACGCTATCGGCACTATCAGAAAATAGGATCTAGGAGAACTTACTGCTTACCGAGTTGTCCTGCTACCATCTTATTAGTACAAAGTAAAATTCTGGTCTGTTGTACATTAGGTTGCAGCAATATATAATAAAACCAGGACACCACATGACACCAACCATTCATAACTTAAGCTGCTTTTATCTCTCTCACCCAACCAGCTATGTGAGGTACTAATTGGATCTGTTGGAGAATTCTGTGATCCTGCATTAACTGATATTTGCTACTGTGATCATATAAATACTACAACAGGCCCAGTTCACTTTGTTGTCAACCATCCGGCACGGCTAAACTATAGCAGAGGAGTCATTAAAGCGCATTGGCTGCGCGGCGATGGTACTGCAGTAGACAGTGTCAATAATATAACTCTTCCAGCGATTTATGGTAATGTATATATTTAGTTAGTTTCAACAGCACTGTTCATTTTACTGTCTATTTAGTAGTAATAATTTGATTAGGGGTGCCCTTTTAACCAAACTGGCTTTATAAAATGCAAATGAAAATGTCACCTTTGAATATCTATAAAATACATAATAAACAGCAGTGGAGACTGTTCGACAGAAATATAAAGGGGAATAGCAATAACAGTGCAGAATCGAACAGCATTACCTAATCTAATCTAATGGCATCCTTCTGTCCCGAGGAACTATGGAGATGTGCAGCTGGATTTGGGAACATCTGCTGTGACTGTAAAATCCGATGCGGGAGTGGCAGTCTCTGCTTTATAGAATACACAAAAAAGTAGATACTCCCGTGCTATGAAGCTGAAACAATGAAAAATTTATCCAGACAGTTTCGTTTATTGCATTAAAGACAATCGAACATTAAATTTGCAGTTTGTTTTTCTTCTTTTCCTAAGTTTTCAACCCGCTTTAAGGGCAAGTGTGCCGCGAAATTAGTTTCGCCTGAGAAGGGTGCCGCGGTTGAAAAAGTTTGAGAATCGTTGGTGTAGGTGGGCATCCGTATTATTTAATGAGCTAAATATCTAGTTCTCAGTTACAGTCTCTAACAAGTACCAGGTGTTGCAGCTATTAGCTGACGATGTCAGCACAGAAGTCTGCTGGGATAAAATCAAAGGAATCTAGAATGAATCTTTCGTAGAAGTTCTTGGCAAGAAAGAAATGAAACATAAAGCGTGGATAACACCAGAAACCATTAAACTGATTGAAGATAGGAAAAGTAAAAAGGTAGACTTAAACAATAGCAAAACTAGATCTGCTAAAGCTAGAGCTCAGGAGAAATACACAGAAGCCAATAAGGAAGTTAGGAGGCATTTAAGGGCAGATAAAGTGAAATATCTAAATGATCTAGCACAAGAAGCGGAAACAGCAGCAGCAAAAGGAAACCTCAGACAACTGTACAGTAACACAAGAAAATTAGTAGGTAAATTCAGTCAGCCAACTGGATCAATCAAAAATGGTCAAGGAAAAGTACTTACTTACACTAAAGATCAAATGGACAGATGAGTGAAATATTTTGAAATGCTTCGAAATAGACCAGGCCCAGAGGTTCCCCCAGATACCCAGCCTTTGGAAATGGAACTGGATATCAACTGTGAGATACCACCCAAAGAGGAAATTAGAAAAGCTATAAATCTTCTCAAGGAAGGAAAGGCGTCAGGCCCAGATGGTATCCCAGCTGAAGCCATCAGGATCAACATAAACACATCAACAGAATTGCTACATAGATTATTCAGTAAAGTCTGGAAGACTGAAGAAATACCAGCAGACTGGAGAGAAGGCTATCTTGTGAAACTGCCCAAAATCGGTGATCTACAGGAGTGTGAAAACTAAAGAGGAATTATGTTGCTGTCAGTTCCTGGAAAAATATTAAGAAGAATTTTTTTTGAAAGATTAAAAGATGCTATTGATAAAAAGCTAAGAGATGAACAGGCAGGTTTTCGGTCAAACAGATCCTGTACTGATCAGATAGCCACATTACGTATTATATATAATAGAGCAAAGAATTGAACTAAACTCACCACTTCACATAAGATGTATAGACTATCAAAAAGCATTTGACATCATTGATAGGGAATCTCTCTGGAAAATAATGGGGTACTATGGAATCCCACAGAAAATTATCAACTTTGTAAAGACAACATATAAAGACATGAAATGTCGAGTTCTTCATGAGGGAAAGCTAACAGATGCATTTGAAATAAAAAAAAAAAAGGTGTGCGACAGGGATGTCTTTCGTCGCCTATCTTTTTTTTACTGGCTATAGACTGGACTATGAAAACAGTAACTGCCAACACCAAGAATGGAATTCAGTGGACCCCTACAAAACAGCTTGAAGATCTGGACTTCGCTAATGATATTGCTCTTCTGTCCCATTCACGGAATCAGATGCAAGATACATTAAATATACTTGATACGAGATCACAGCAGCTTGGTCTAAAAATCCATAAAGGAAAGACAAAGATAATGAGAATAAATCAGGCAAATAGTAATGTGGTTTCTCTTAATGGCACCCCACTCCAAGACGTGGAGTCGTACACCTATTTGGGCAGCAATGTAGATAAAGATGGAGGAACGGATAGATATATTAAAAAAAGAATACAAAAGACAAGAGGGGCTTTTATAGCACTAGGGAATTGTTTGAGGTCCCCCCCCCCCCCCCAAAAAAAAAAAAAAAAAAAAAAAAAAAAAAAAATTAAAAGAAATACTAAACTAAAAAATGTTAATTCTAATGTCAAATCAGTACTATTGTATGGGGCGGAAACACAGAGAACAACTAAGACAATTACTAATAAATTACAGATATTCATTAACTGGTGCCTGCGCAGAATAGAGGGAATTAAATGGTATGATAGTATAACTAATGTAGAACTTTGGGAGAGAACTAAACAGGCTCCAGTGGACCAAGAGATGAGGATAAGACACTGGCGTTAGATAGGAACATCACTGAGAAAACAGGAGAACAGCATAACTAGAATGTCCTTGCATTAGAACCCACAGGGGCATATGAATAAAGGAAAGCCAAAAAACGCATGGAGAAGAGAGCTGGAAAATAAAGTTAGAAAGATGGGGAGGACATGGGGAGAGCTCCATGCCATGGCGATGGATATAACGACATGGCCTGAGTTGGTTGAGCGCCTATGCTTCATTGGGGGATAGAAAGGCAGAAGATGAAGAAGAAGAAGAAGAAGAAGAAGAAGAAATATCTAGAACATTTTTACACACACAAAAATTACGTCGTTTGTTGTAAAATTATCTGTTTTTTTTCTTTCCAATCCTGTTATAACTTTCTCAAATACTAACCAATCTGTATGACACTGTGCATACGCACTCACATTATAATTGGCAGTAGCCTTTTCTGGGGGAAATTTACTATCATGATTGTGTTCATTGTTGAATAATTTCAAAAAGAGGCAAATTTTAGGAAGCTTTACATCCAATCTATTAGGTGTGTACTATTTTCCATAAAAAGAGCTACACTCACACCATTGTTGTATGTGCATTTGAATTTTGAAGGAATTTGGCTGTACCATTTCCCTACATATACTTCTAAAGTGACAACTATATTTTGCATATTGTAGAACATATCTGTTCTTTGCATACGTTGATATCACACCCAGGCTAGTCTTTAAGTTTGCTACAGGAGGAGTCGATTGGAAGGGAATAGACGAAGAGAAAGATGGTCGTGTCGATAGTGGCTGTAATGATATCTTGCTTGATGCATGCTTCTCACGAGACTCTGAAGCCTGAAAACTACAAAGTCTTGAAACAACTGCTCTTTCATATACTGTCTTTATTGTGATACCTCCGCAATGTCACAAACAACATCAATGATATTCTGAATGGCACTGTGTTCGCTCAAATATTAAATACTCTTGAGGTCGCGCTGTATGTTTTTTTTTTCCTTTAGTTTTTTGTTGTTGTTTGTTTACTGGATCTAGTGTCTGTAACTGCCACCTGGCTTCTAGTGCTGTATGGTACTAATGGCTTAATCGTTGACTCTAACATCTCAATAGTGTTTCTGTTACCCATGGATCCATGTATCTCTTAGTTCGATGTGTTGTTTCATGTCTCTTCTTTTTTGACTGTCGTCGAGGCTTTATGTGACTGGTTCTTCTTCTTCTAGTGTTGAGCTGGCATCTCTACAACCGCGAGGATCGAAGAGACTAGTCGCTCGTCCTCTGAGTTTCAAGGGTTGAAAGCTTTTTTTTTTTTTTGAGGGTCATGTTACTAGTCCCTCCTCTTTTAAGTCTCGTGACTGAAGGCTTAACCAAAGTGGTTTCTTACTCATTATTTATAATGAGGTGCTGGAATGCGGGAAATGTGTTTTCTACTATTCTAGAAATTTCAAGTACGTCTAAACATGTTAACTATGTGCGTTCTCACGTGGGATTTTATAATTATATCTCAATTGCAACAATGACGTCAAATACTATTGATAAATTATTCATTTGCAAAATATTTCTCTGGTAATAACAAACAAAGGTTCTAGAAAAAAGAATGTCAAGGCTGCCAAAACTTGTTGATTCTGGTACATCTTAGCTTTGCGCCATATTGTACCTCCTAACAAACAAGTGATGACGCCTCCCTGTTGCAATATGTGAAGAATATTTTTTCACTTAAAAAACCGATTATCTCACATGTGTATAATGAATTAAAAAGAAGTTAATTTTATATGATAGCTTAGTCATTTGGTCATCATGTCTAAAAATGTGAGAGACCTGTCTTTAAAATTGAATTTGTTATTATTTTTGTTTCTAATGCCACTGATTCCCTGCTATTACTCGCCCTTAAGGTTCTGAAAACTGAAACAGTCGACCACGAGGTGTACTACAGCTAGGTGGTCATACACTGCCAAGAAATGTCTATGCTATGCTTGCAAATATTAGTTATAGTTCGTGGCTTATGATAAAGCCTGCGGCTGATGCAGGGCTGTGTCTTGAAATATTACAGCCTTTAGCTGCTGGAGCCTTTTTTATTTTTGTTAAATGCCTTGTGCAGGGAGAGGGCATTAGAATAGAGCATCTGACCAGTGTATGGAATGATGAACTGCATCAACAGTCCAAGGATTAGGTACAACAGTTTTAAATATAACGTACCTTGCTCAGAGAGTAAATAAACATATATTGCCTCTAGGAAATAGACTTCTCCACGGATTGATCCTTCAGAAGCGCAGGGTACCAGAGCATTCAAGATTTCATTTAGTGAACTGAAGATTTGATGTGGTCTAGCAAAATCTTAATTAAAGGTCTTATTGGATATTTTTTTTTTTAAATAGAATTCTTGAGAGTTAAGTTTTCTTCAGCGCATTGTGTAAAATTTTACTTACACCCTCTGTCAGTTAAACAAATGGTTTGACCTGTCTTAAATTACCATTATCTCCAGTTCCTAGAAAACAGGAATGTAGCTTAGTCCTGTTAATTC